AGCTCAATATCAACTCATTAGCAAGAATCCCATCTCTGTCTGAGTTGTTATGAGACTTGTACCTTAAACAGTGCTTAAGGGAGATTCATAATCTTATTAAAAGAAAAAAGTCTCCAAAATATGATTTTTTTTTTAAAAAATAGGGTGAGAGTTTATAGAAGTAATGTTGGAAGTGCCTAGAATCAGAGAATCACCCTTAAAAATTAAGCACGAATAACAAGATAAGTCAACGTCTTTCTTGTTTAACACAAAACCACTATTTTTTGAATCTGCTAGAAGTGGCTCATGTAGAAGGCCTGCTATCTTATATTTTTAAATCAAGGAAAATAACACAATTTAATTTAAACCCGGTATACAAAACAAATCAGTAACACCATATCAAAAGCACAGACTACATCTGGTCTCAATCAGTTTATGCACAACATTCAATGCACTTGAAAGCACACCACCCACAGCAACATCTCCCAGCACGCTGAGAGTTTCCAGCTTTACCTTCCTTGCTTTTTTGTTTCCCCTCATTTAGAGTGTGTTCTTTAAAAGCAGACAAATAAACAGACTTCATTTTCATGATTCACATTTTCCATAATCTTGGGTCCAGCACTACTGGCTCCACCTTTTTTTTTAAGCTATTCATGCATTCCTTTATTTATTGTCCAAAGTACCAAGCAATTTGATCTATAAGTCCCATTGATTTGACAAGTTCTTTGCAACTCCTAAGACATTTTGGCCCCACAGACCGACATCTTTTTCCAAGCCTATTATTTGGGCATCCTAGATATCTGAGATTATCTTTTAATTGTTTGTTTAACTAAAGCACTGATGTATTGACTTAATTGTGTCTGTTCTCATTTATCTGCTTAAACAAGCAAGAAATTCTAAAAGATAACAGCACTGTTGATTGACTATATGACGTTTGATCCAATCCATATCAGCCACAAAGTCAGTATTAGGTTTGCAATAAGAAGTCATCTCCAAAATCTCAAGGAACAGAAAATCTGTAGATGCTTGGAAGAAATTCAGTTCCTGCAGTAAAGAGTCATTTGTTTTGGTTTATTTACCCCGGTAACATATATGAAAGCAATGTCAGTAAATCAATTGACAGCAAAAACTTTAGCTCCTAAATAATAATTGCAAAGTAGGATCTGTCAGTTTCATGCCTGGTAAGAAATAATAATAATAAAAAATAGAAATATTAATAAAAAGTAGGAAAAATACTATGACAGTAAGCAGATATATATATATATATATATATATATATATGAGCAAACTTCTATTATTTGTACTGTGCAGTTTTCTACCTCTTAGAAATGATTCCCCCAAAATATTCAGTCTGACGATCTCATTGTCCTTTGGATGTTTCAAGTTGTCCACACTTTGTTATGGACTTTGGGGATATTTTCCTCAGCCAAATCAAAACAGTGGATTCTTGGTTTGTTTTCACTTCTTTCACATGCCTAGCCAGCTTCTGCAGCTTAAAAAGAGATAGTGCAAGTTGATCATGGTTTTGATGCAGAGGTTTTTGCAGTTTCCCTTTGTAGGCAAGTCAGAAGCTGTGGAAGAAATGGAAAAGAGGAGAAGTGGGGACAGAAAGTCTCAAGGAGAATATGTAGGAAATTCTTGTTAAATTTTTGGATGATTTTATCAGTTCTGAGCACCTTGGAAAAAGCATTTTTTTTTTCTACTCCTGGAATATTATGTTTGTTCGAGTAGAGCCATTAAAAGTGTGGGCATAATAATTTGTGAGGCAGCTTGTGACCCATGTTGCTTTTTCTTGCCTTCTTCACCCTAGTTAAACTTTAAAAGCTTCCCACATTATTTTCAAATGCTTCTTGCAGCTAAGAAGATAAATGCAGCAAATCACCTCCTGTTATAGGTGAATTACAGGTTCTCCCTCCTGGAAGAACCAACAAACATTTTCTGTACAAGGCAACAGTTTGTTTTCATTGAAGCTGAAATGGAAAATGCAGGCAAGTTCTGCAAACTGTTTTGAGAACAGAGACATGGGAAAATGAAGACATTAATGTTTCTGACTGCATCAAGAATAGCTGTCACACTGTCAAAAACATTAATGAACAAATTAGCAATAAATTTCAGCACCGTATCTTCAAGAGAATTGTAACCAACTCACCTGTACAAAATATTTGAGCTGGAGGTGATAAAAGGTAAACTAATGAAATAAAGATAGTGTTACTTCCTGAGCAGTCAAGCTGTGCAGGGCAAGAGAGGCTATGCATTTCTCTCCTATAAGCCACCTCTCTTCCATGATTTGTAAATTTTCCCTGTTTTTCTCATTTGAATAGTCTTATTCAAATGGGTCTCTTAAGTGATAGGAACTACCTAAATATCAAGAACATGTTTCAGAATAAGGAGGTTTATGCTTACAGCTGCCTCTTTTTCATGCTTAAAGTATTTTGTTTTTGTAGGGTTGTGATGATAGAGGTGTTATGGTTTCTTGTGGGATCCAGATGTTTGATGTCAGTGTTAGATGCAGTGGCTGCAGAGCTGCCAGGTCAGCTATAAATGGTACTTGGCCATGTGAGTTAGGGATCCAGAAGGCCAGAGACCATGCTATTACCTTGCCTGCCCTGCTGCTGCCTTACCTGTCAGCCATTGCACAATGCAGCCTGGTGTGGCCACGTCTTTGACCTCAGCTTCGTGAAAAAGCATTGTTTTCTTGCCAGCTGCAGAAGACTCTCAAGACTCTGCTGTTCTTAGTTTCCTGAGCTACTCTTTTCTCTCTCTCTCTTTTTTTTTTTTTTTTTTTTTTTTTTTTTTTTTTTTGGGCAAAACAAGCAGAATCTCCTGCAATTGCTCAAGTTTTCCCTTCTGTTGTAAGTTTTAACATTTTCACTATCTCCTGCTAGCCTGAGTTGGTTAGGGAATCAGAGCTTCCTGCTTGCTAATGTCAGACTGTAATGAACGCCTGTTTGACGCTGTGTTGTAGCCTTTCTGATGGATTTGGTTTTGACATAAGCTGGTGAGACAAGCTGTCATTCACCACTCTTATGATGTTTTCCTTGTGAGTGGATTCTTCGGCATCCTTTTGCCCAAAGGACAGTCAGACACTCTTCTCACACCTGCTCTGGTTTCTTCCAGTGCTTAGATGCAGAGAGACAGTCGCTATCCTTTAGAAATTTGCAATTGGCATTAACCTAAGGCACTGACACAGGTATTTTTGTGATCCAAGGTAGACGTTAAACAGCTGAGGTGGGAGGGGGGTGGCCGTACCTATGCATGAAGCTGGTGCACTGTGGAAACCTTAGCTAATTACCTCTGGATGAAGAAACCGTCAAGGTCTGCTGGCCAAGACATTGGAGGCTGTTACCTGAGCAGTTCCCTGGCCCTGGGCAATGAGCCAGCACAGCTTCCAGGCTGTGCCAGCCCATTAGCTGCAAGCTACTAATATGACACATCCCTCACGACTTGTGTCCTCTAAAGCTAGCACTGGATTCAGTCCCAGATCCGAGCTCCTACATCATGTGGCTTTTCCAGATTTTCAGTGTTTAATTAGATCAGCACACACAAAAGCCTAACCATTCCTTGTTGCTTAAAAAAAAAAAAAAAAAAAAAGGCTGCAGATGATGCAGCAGTGCCTGCTTTGCTGTACAGCAGTACTGGTGAGAGGAGTGACCATGACGGGAAGCTTGCTGTGGCGCTGATGCTAATGCCAAAAGAGACCCTTCCAAACATAATGAGAAGGCTGTGTGAGAAAGACATGGCAAGCCCAAGCCCACGCTTTACGGGAAATACCTCCACAGGCCTGGAAAAGTGTTGCTGTAAGTAAAGAGGTCTGGCTGGAATGGGAGAGTAGCTTGGGGGTGGTGATTGTGTGTTAAGACTTTATGTTTCCTAATCATGGCCTGCACTGCCCTGTCACCTTCTGCCCAAGATGAAGACCTCGAGGCAAACTTTGGGGTCCAGATCCCAGCCTCGCCAGCTTAGAGACCAGTGTGTGGGCGTCTGACTGTACGGCTAGCACACATCTGCTGTCTAAAATGACAGCTCTCCGCTCTCGTAAGGTAGTACAAAGCTATTTTAAGCTGGCACAAGCCTTGTCCAGGAAAGCTCAGACAACACTCACACCTCCGAAGTGTGTGGGGGAAAGGCAGCTGAGATAAGCAAACACAGCAGCGAAAGGTCAACATCTCAACCATCCAAAAACCACCACACCTGCCCCACCATGGATATTAATCCCATGGCATAAAGAAACTGTTGGAAGGCCCCTTCCTGTAAGAGGAGTGCTGTCAGGAGTTGGGCTGGGCTGTTGGTGATGGTAATCTATCAGAAGCAGGCTCATATGGGGCCATGGGCTCTGCTGGAGGAGGAGAGGAGGTGCTCACTGGGCAGCAGGACAGGCTGAGGTGGGCCTGCCCTAAACAGCCTACAGTCACCCACACCACTGTTGTGTCAGAGTGCCACAGCTGCCCTCATGGTTTGTTGTTTGACTTTCTGGGGGATTTTAACAGCTCAAACAGTGTGTGTGTGTATGTTTTTTTTTTTGTTTTTTGTTTTTTTTTCTCTTGTCCTAAGAAAGAACATCTGCCTCTGTCTGTAGGATTCACTCAGTCTTTCTTCTCTAAAATCCATAACATAGAAAACCTCCCATTAGCGCACAAGGAATGTGAAGCCTTATCCATGCACAGCCCAAGACCTGTCACACACACTGCATCTCTTAACAGTTGAGCAGTTTCAGCCAGCAGCATTTTTATTTTTTCTTTTTTTAGCCAGTGCTTGTGAACCAGTAAAATGCATTCTACAGAATTGTTCATACCGAAATACAGATGCCTCACACAGATGTGCTACTTAGCCTCCCCTCCTCCATGGTGGGACAGCCCCACCTGGCTATGCTGTGCCCCCTTAAACGTAAGTGATAGCCTATCACCTTCTGTATAGGCAGCAGCAGGTGGCAACAGGTCCCTCACCTGCAGTAACTCAGTTATCAACTATGGAAACAGCCGGGCCTGCTTGTGATCTTTCTATTTGTTGCTGTGCCTTGGCAGATTTTGGTCAAACTTGCAGCTGAGCTGACAGAGGAGCCCTGGAGAGCCCCTTGGTGCCCCTGCCTTGGATTGACTGGAGCGCTTTGGATGGTTTCCTCTTGGTGAGTGAAGCTAACCCATCTAAGATGAGACGGAGAATAACTTCTGTAATCTATCTTGCTTGCTTTTCTGTCATTGTGGACTTCAGTAGAGGCACAATAGCTGGTTGTGAGCGTGCAAATGATGTTTTAACCTTGTATGGCTGTTTCTGTGATAAGTGAGATAAGAAGGAAGGAATTTGATCCATATGTTATTTCAGTTTTCTCTGAATACAACCATGTTGTTACTTAATCTTCTTTAGGATTTTCTGGTACCTGGGGCCTTTTAAAATTCGAGCATGTTGTTTTCTATTCAGGAGCAGACAGAGCATGTTCATTGTGCATCACTATGATTTTCAACCCAGGACAGAGGTAGCAAATGCTGGTACCAATTTCAGTTGACTCTGGCAAATTAGTCTGTGAACTTGGACAGCTTGGTAAAGATTATGTGTCCTATTCGGCTGTTGTGTTGTTAGCATTCCCTGAAGGAGGGAGTAGACTGCTACCAGGCTTGCTTTCTGTCCCCAGAGCTGGCAGCTGGATTTATTGCTGTAGGAGAGAAAGCGCTGTGAGGAAGTCCCTCATCCTGGGGCCATCTATGCCAGTTCTCAACTGTCCCTTGGTCAGAGTAATCATCCCCCCAGCTCACTTGGTGGAAGCTCCCAACCTGATTCTAGTTAAACTGGGCATCTGAGGCCTCAGCTCATGCTGTTTGAGGGCATGGGTAACCTTGAGGTGCCAGAGCTCACAAACTTGCATGGTGAGCCCCAGGGCAGGAGGACATCAAGGTTTGATGGTCCCTCATCTGCTGGGTATGCTGCTGTAGGTAAGCAGCTAAGTCCCAACAGCTGAGCAGCTACTGCTGCCTTGCTTTAAATATTTCAGAAGATAATAGTAACCCATGAAAAGTTACTAGTCAGATCACAACAAGTCTACCAAGTACTTAGATGCCCAAGAGGAGGAAGCTTGTATCTTCTCATGCATGGCTGGTTCAGAGCGCTACATCCCATAAACCTTTTTTTCTGTGTACAATTAGATACAATCTTCTTGAAATATTATTTTTTAAATAAGTCTTTTCTGTTTTGCAGTAGCTTCAACAGTTTTTACAGCCACTGCTTTGTTTGGGTCAGGCTGTAATCTTTCTTTAGAAACCCAATGTCTCAGAAAAGTTATGGGTCTATCAAAAAGCAGCAGTTTAATTTTATAGGCACACCTGTGAATTTAATTCTCTGTCTAAAACTTCTTTTAAGTCCTTAAAGGGTCACTCCAGACTCAAGGGGGGAAGCTATGATTGCATCGTCTCCGTAAACTGCATGATATATAGACATACTGAACCTGACAGCTGAGTGTTCATTAATCCTGAAACCTAGCCAAGTAACTTGTAATTCCAAAAGGCATCACATTTAAAATGAAAAGTTCCCCTTATGATAAATGCCCATTTAAAAAAACAAACACAAAACAACAACAAAAAAACAGTTGTCATCCATTTGTAACTGCCAACAGCTGCTAGTAAGATCAATGGTAGCTAAGTTTTCCTTGCTCAAGGAAACTTTAGTGAACTGTAAATTCTAGGACATGGATATTTTTTCCTCATCTGACACCCCCCACCCTTTTTTTCCTTAAACTGAAATGAAAAAATTTTAGACTACGTTAAATCAGCTCATAGAAAGTGTAATCTATGCTCCTGAGGGCTATGCCGAAGGGGAGAGGAATTTCTGGGCTAGAACAAACCTGTTTTCTAGTCCAGTCAACCAGCTCTGCTTTTAAAGATAATACATTTGAGGCTACCATTATTAAGTGTTGCATGTAAGAACAGTATTTCTTCCTATGGTTTCACCCCTCAGAAACCTCTCTGGTTCATACAGTAAAGTGAGATAACTCTTTGTCTTGGAAAGTGAGGTAGCTGTAAAAGCACATCTTTCTATTATTGTTTTTAGAATGATCTTGTATGGTAGCAAATTTTTAAGTTTAGCTTTCTGAAAAGTGGTGTAAGCCAAGTTAAACTTAAAATTTGCCCAGAAGGAGGGGGGAAAAAAAAGGAAAAAAGAAGAAAGCAGAGGAAGAAAGTGTATTTGTCAGCACAAGAGGCACCTAAAGGTAGAATGCCCATGATCAGATACAGTAAGACAGTTGATCACTGTTTAAATTACTGCAGGAACACGAATGTTTTAGTAAGAGACCTACAGCATTTCTCTGTGTGTTCCTTTTTACCTCAAGCAGAAGTATTTATAAGCCATAGACAAGTCTCTTTATGAGGTACTGATAGCTTGACTAAACAAAAATAGCTGGAATCTCTGGACTGTCTATTCTCTTAGATATTCACTGCAATTTTGTAATTTTTGGCAATTTAGGGAAGGTAAAATTGCCACTCTGTTCAAGTCAATGTGAGTTCTGACATTTATTGCAATGGGGCCAATATTTCTGAGGGAGTCCATTACCTAAGAAGCTCCTTCCTTACAGATGGTAGGTAGTCTATGTGCTTATCTGAATGTGTGTATCTGATTCTGGTGACGTTTTTCTTTCACTTAATACGATGCTTATTAATTCTGCTTTTTGGTGGAACTGTATGTATTTTTACATGTTGAAAAATTCTCTCTATGGCTTTTGAGCCTTGCCCTGATTAGATGTGCGCTTTTAGGAAAGCTTGAATGACAATCCACCTTGGCTACTTGGCATCCTGTAGACAAGCCCTACATTTAACAAAGCTTAGCTAGATAGGAGCTATTTAGAGAGATTACGAGGCAGAACTCTCGACTTTCTTTTCACTGACAAGAAAACAGTTATTAACATAGGACAACTTATGTACCACAGTGTTATACAGTGGAAGCACCAAGGAACTTTGGTTTTACTGGAAGGTAAATTAGCCCAGGTCAAATCACAAAGGTCTAGAATAGTGCTGACCATGTCTAACTGTTAGTGAAACCTGCCAGGACCTGTAGCTCTGTGTATTTAATGGCTAGAAAACCACATTGCTTATCTAACTTTCAATAAAAACCAAACATCCTCATCCCACCCTGTGCATTTGTGGCAGAGAGTGACCTCAGTCCTGAGAGCTAGGGAGACGTGTTAGTCTGATGGCTTCAATCAAGAATTCTCTTTATTCTCTGTAATTGAATTTTGTCTGAGACAGAAGTAAGGAAAGAAACACAACATGAAGACTAGAAAATGAGACAGGAAGTGCAAAGGGATGGAGGAGAGATACAAAAAGCTTGGTTACTATAAAATTCCCGTGAAACGCCCTGAAGAATTCCAATTTATACTTTGTCTTATTTATACATCTTAGCACTGTTTTCTGTTTTGTTCTTTAGCTCTAGAAAATGATAATTGCTCCATACATTGTAAATACCTAATGGTTTTAATAGGTTAAATCTCTGGTAATGTCTATGCGACCTAATAAAGCTGTGTAGTTTTTAATCCAAAGCATTAGGATTTCTATTCTTACTGTGTTGGTGCGAGAGAATATGACAACAAGGGAAACAATTCTAAGAGCATGCAAACAAAATCCAGGAAAGACTTGTGAGTCTTCTGACTCAGAATAAAATGAATTTATAATGAAACAGCCTTCACAAAAGGGAGCCTTTGATTCTTCACTGAATGTTATTTTCTAGAGGTATTTGACAGTGTTGCTCATATCTTGGAATCTAGAGAACAAAGAGAAATGATTTTCATTTCTTTCCCACTAAAACATTCCCTTGATGTTTGAGTTCAGTTTTGGTAATACTCTAATAGGTTGCACTTATATATGGCTTTCCATTTTTAAAGCTGTAGTTTCATATGCCTGCTGCACTAAACCTCACATACCCTCATGGCGTTGAGCAGTAGCAATTACTTTGAGTCACAGGAATGAAAACTGAGGCACTGAACATGATTTCCTTAGTGTACCACAGTACATATGAGTTACATTTGAGAAGACAGTCCTACAGACTTCTGTCCTGGCCTTTTCCCTCCACTTGTGCTGTGAAGCTGGATACCCATTTGACTTACTGTGATCCCTTCTGCCTGGGTAGACTTTGTTCTTTTCCAGGGTAAGACCCTAGGACTGCAAGAAAAATTATCAGTGAAGGGTAACAATGAAAAATAACAATGAACTTGTCTGTGGATTGGCACCAAGGGCAAGTTAGGACAGAATATGGCACAGAGCTTAGGGTTTTGACAGGTGTGGGTGGATCTTGCTATAGCAGTTTAGGCAAGTAGTTGAGCTGAAAAAGGTTGTAGGGTTAGATATCTTTAGGAAAATTTTACATGCGTATTTTCATTTCTCTGTTCTGCTCTTGGCCTCTCAGAGGCAGTATGTAGGGCTAACTAGACCTCTAGGCTGAACCAGCATGATGGATTTTGCTGTCCACAGGCTCTTGCTGTCCTTCTCATGGCTGTGAAGGGGGGAGAATTTACCATTGCCTCAGCTGTTCATGTGCAAGCCACTTGGAACAAAAGCAAAAATGCCAGTCTGAAGTGTGGCTAAGGCAAAGACACATGGACTTGTCAATAGGCCCCTACAGAGAGGGCAACTTCTGGCAGAAAGAGTGGTCAGCTGGAATAATAACATCTTAACATGCTGTGTGTGTATATAAGGAACTTGCAGAGTTGAAAAAGAATGTTCATTGAAAAAAAAAAATCTGTGTGAATTGTTTCATTTGATGTCTGTCTCTTTATTTTTTTTTTTAAATGAAAATAAGATTGACTTTTCTTTTGCAAAGTCTTGAAAAAGATGATAATCAACTTCTAGGTGTACTTGCTACAGAATGTTTGCATGTTGTAAGCTGCATTCACTTCTAATTAAAATCACTGTGACTGGCTTATGAAGCTGGATTCCAAGAACACTAACGCTGAGCTGGGGACAGAAACAAAAACTTCTGAGAACTTTGATTTTGTGTTATACAGGGCATTTGAAGATACTTTCTGAATTGCTGCTTCCTTTACTATAAAACTGCCTATCAAATTCCCTTTATATGTGCTGTTATCAGGCACCAAATAAGTATTCTGTGTAGTTACTATGCTCCTTGCTTTCTCTGTTGTATACCTGT